ATGCAGCGTTTTCAAATGATAACCCAGTGTTATACTGTAAGAGGTGAAGAAGCAGATGTTTATAAGCAATTGCTGAGAGACCAAGTGTCAGGTAGAAGGATGATGAATATTCCTATATGAAAACTGCAAAAAATGAGAAACAAAATTTAGGTTATAGTCTTTTAAAATTCCTTTCATTATGAGGTATCTGAAGATATATCACAAGCATTAAAGACCAAACATTGAAATCAAGGAAATTATATCTTTACCACTAGGTAAGAATATCATCAGTGGTATCATCTGGAGGAAAAGGAATGAAGAGCATTAGGGTAGTGACACTCTGCCCATGCTGATCAATGAGCCGTTGAGAAAAGGTTTTCTGGGAAGACTGGTTATTTCCTTGGATATTCTGATAGTTTCTCACCAGGGAAGTAAATGATCAAAATGAAGAGGGTGAAAAGAGTTTGTTATATTTAGGGTGCAAGAGAGTTTTACGAGACATCATGAAAATAAGAACCACATTTTGCCTGTGCTAGTTTTATAATAGATAAAGAAGGAAATGAAGAGAATGGCAGTAGAGATATGCTCAGAAAAGTTAGGGTGCCAAGGCAAAGCAAAACCTGGGCTGGTTTTATATGTTTAGATGTGCATATCAGGGTGAAAGTACAAAAACATTCAAGCCTTGAAATTGTTAAAGCTAGATACAAACACAAACTAAATCCATGGTGAGCATAAAATTATAGAAGTGAACTTAAAAATGCTTTTAAGTAATTAGAATTCTTACAAGTTTTTATAATTAAATATAACTATAAAAAATTGCAGGGACTATATGAAATAAACATTGGAATATCTTAATTTTTTTTTTTTTTAATATGAAATGTTTCTAATAAACTTTTAAAAATTTTACTGGAACTACTAGTAAAACTAAAACTTAAAACCTTATTATACACATAGAAATGTTTTATATGAGAATTGCTTAATATCCTTTGGAGACAAAAGGAATCAGGCTATGTATGTGGGACATGGGCACATCTTCCAGCAAATGAGGATACTGAATGATTTTCTGCAGTGTGGCAGAGATGGATAATATTCCAGAAGTCCTAACACTGAGTGACTTAATGGCTGGACAGAAAATAGTCAAAGAAGGAGCTCATCAAGGCAGATACTCTGTGCACAGAGACACATAAACCTACCCCATACCTCACCTTCATTTTCCAATTGTTATAGCACTACAGGCTGCTTGATAGTCACAGGCCAAAGCCTGGTAATTGTAGGGAACAATTAATCTGACCAATTTTCAGATGTTCTAGAATGAAGTCAATAGTGCAAAAGTCACCCTCTGACAATATTTCACATATGTCAGTGTTGACTGTAAAATGAGACAGTATCTGCTCTTCAGTCCTACAAATCCCATCTAGGTCTCCGTTTTGAATTTCCAAGGTTGGCAGGAAACTAATTGCAGTTTTCAGTTGTGCATGATGAAGCTTATGCTGTACAATGAAGGAAAGCTGACGTGGAAAAGGCAGGCTTATGGAAGTTTATGGACTTGTTCATAAACAGTTTTGGTAAGAAAATGATTTATGACTGCAATATTGTTAAAAGTATGTAGTAATTGGAATGGGAATGGGAAAAGGTGTGAGCTGAGAGCCCAGAAATGTGAGTATTGTTTCACAGTTACTCTTCTAGAAGCTTCTAGCAATACGGTGTGCAATAACAGGCACATTTCAGCTTTCAGCTGTAGACCAGTTTTCAGCATCACACTGTAGTTGTTCAGTGAATATAAATGCTTTTAGGACATTTTAGCAGTTTTCTCAGATTTCCTGTACAATAATAAATACACTTGTAAGTATATGTAAATTGAGGCGTAATGCTCTTAGAATTCTGATGACAAACACGCAAACTTCTCTCTGATGATTGTTAATGCATTTGAAAGTGTTCTTCTGTAGAAATGCATCTTTTGTGTTATTTCATCTGTTTGATTGAAGGAGTACAAAAAACTATCATACTTTTCTCTACAGTAAATGCCTCTAAAGTCCTAAAATACCGAGGAAGATCTGAGGTAAAAAATATATTCCGTGCAAATTGTTTGTGACTTGTAATGTTTTGAACATCAAAAATTTGCATACTGTTTTACTTCTTAACAAGCTATCTTCAAGGTGGGAAGCAAATTGTGTTGATAGATAGTGATGGGAATACTACTTGGACCACTGTATTTCCGTGTGAGATTTTATGTTAAGTGAAGCTTGAATAAGAATTTAGGAGTTTAGTGATTCGGTTGTTGGGGTTTTTGTTTTTGTCTATGTGTGTTACTGATGACACTCCGAGGTCTACATTGTTCAGCTGCCTTTTTAGCAAAAGCTTTGCTTAGTCCATATAGTAGCATGATACAAATTGATAAAGGCTTCTGAGCTGGTTGCAGATTATGGTAGCAAATCCACCATCTTACAGAGCATTTATTAAACAGAAGAGAAAATCTGTGAAAGTAGTCAGTTTTTATAGATGTGCATGAATGCTTTGATGTCTCATCTCAGCTCTCACTTGTTAGTGAAAATTGGGGTGAAATAAAAAGGTCTGAAGTCACACAAGTTGCTTATTATTATTGTGTACTCCAGAACTTGTTCTTGCTGGCTCAGGCAGTAGATCTATCCAAGCCAAAAGAGTTTCATTTTGCCACTATAGTTATGAGTGGTGGCAGATGAAGAAAACAGTTTCTTTGTCTCTCTGATTACTTGTATGTGATGTTGTTGATGTTTTTTCTGGCTTTAAATCAATTGGAAAGGAAGCATGACCTGATTTGGCTGGGGTTTGCATTCTTCTGTTTTGCATAAGGCTAGTGTTAGATCACAGGAGTAAGGCTTAATTTTAATCCAGTATTGCAACTCAGTTTAAATTTTGTTTACTTCAAAGGGTAAGAAGATACAAACCCTTATTTATTATTTAGCATTTCTAATGCTAAAAAAAGGCACAAATGCCAGAGGGAGTATAAGCTAAACAGGTAAAACAAAGGTTAGAAAAACTCACAAGCCAGTTCTTAAAGAAATGTGTGAACCAACTGTAGGGGTAGATACACTGGAAAGGACAAACTCTGTGGGATTATCAGGAAAAAGAAAGAGTGATTATGAAAATCAAGGAGCTCTTACACTCTACATCAGATGCTAAAAACATTCATTCAAAAGGTAAGGACCAGAAATCTAGAAAGAGTTGTCAACAGGAACTTCTCAGCTGGTTGTGGAGTACAGCTGGAAAGAGTGCCACTTTCATAGTTCCTAGTCCTAAGCTTCCCTTACCATAAAGTAAAGCTGAAAGAAGTCAGATATATTGATCTAGGAGTCAAGAGTTATTAAATGAACCAAAGTAAATAGTCCCCTTCAAAGTAATTGGAAAACTTGTCAAACCAATGTTTATCAACATTAAGCAAATGAGAGAGGGATTGATTAGAATACAAGGATCTACTGTCCACATTCTGCAACTAAATTAATAGCTTCGGACTCTCTTGGGAAGAAATGCATGTTTTGAGGGTGAAATTCCTCTGAACATTATTAGGAGTCTGCTTTAGAAATACATGAATTTAAATAAGTGAGCAGTGCATTCTGTGGAGATGAGGTGCTTGAAGTCTTAAAGGCCAGTCAAGAATATTTACAGGCAGATTTGCACTAAATACAGTGGATGAACCTCTGTTCTCAGACCCATGTACTTCTGGAGGACATCCTGGATACTCAGTGCCACCTTGCAGCCTACTTCGCAGGAAAAAAACATATTGTGAAGATGCCCACTAACAATTTATAGCAGTGGGTAAATTATCTATAAGGTAGTACAGAAGATGGGAGATGGAATAATTGGGAAATAACTTCTTTGCCCTTTTCCTACCTGCCCATCAGCTGCCATTAGAGACAAAGTGACATAGTGCATAAAGGGAGTTGCCATGGCAAGCATTATAAAACAGGAAAAAAAAAGTAGGTTCCTTATTACAAATAAAATAGTATGTGGTGATGGCACAGGATGTAGGAGTGGATCTAGCTTACGATGGAAATTTATTTGGGTTTCTTGACCAGGTTCTACTTTACGTTGTTTTATGCACCCTATTAATTGAAATGAGTATGGGAAGGTATGCAATGTAGGGAATATAATAAATTTGTTGCATACCTTTTGGGATTGAAATGTTGATGCAGTATACAAAGCAGTGGAGGATAAGGCATTACGTGTAACCTACTCACATAGTAAATATTGTGAAGTATTCCTCTTAGTAATCTCTTACTTTTGACATCATCTTTCTGGATTCATTTGGAGCTGTGTTCTTCTAAAAGGAATAAAGAAAGACTCAGTCCCCATGAACAAGTGATTCCTCTGGAGAACATTTATGCAGACATCAGCATGGGCAAAGCCTTAATGAACACTGCCTATCAGTAACAAGTTGTTAGTAGTATTACCATAAAATGTTCCTATGAAGTTTTATGACCTCCTTCCTGAAATCAACATACAGAAGCATTCTTTGTTTGAATCTCCATTACTTAATTTAGGAGAGAAGATTTTATAAGCCCATACCTATTATTCCAAGAATTCTCCAGTCACGATGTACTTCTATTAGCATTGCTGAGTACAATGAATTACTTAAATATTTCTTTGTGATGTTCAGTTTGCTAATTACTACACATTAGAAGTTTCATTTAACTGTGATTAAGAGATTCTCAAAATTTTGGAGTTGCTCCTAGATTATATTAATACTCAAATGTTACTTATTACATTCTTTATCATTCCTTAGCATCGCATAGTTTTGATGAGACATTTTGCAAACAAGTTTATTGACTGACTTAAAAGAAGCTGATTAATCATTAGACTCTTGTGATTCCCCAAATATTTTCAAAGAAAATATAATCACTGTGGCTTTCTTTCAAGTTTAATCTGTCTTGAAGTACTAATCCAAAGCTTCCACCGAGTCTTAGATACTTATTAATGAGGTAAAGACAGTGAATGGCTAGAACCAGGCAGAGCTTTCATGTCTCTTACTGTTGTTTTTTTTTCAGGATGTGTTGGAGTTTGGGATAATATCACCTGTTGGCGTCCTGCAAAGATTGGAGAGACTGTCACTGTCCCTTGCCCAAAAATATTTAGCCTTTTTTCTGGAAAACCAGGTATTTCACTTTAAAGTGTATTTCTTTCTCATTTCTTTTTAGTGTTTGATATAATAATGTGTTAAAAATATTGACTTGGAGCTTAAGGTTTTAGTTTTTTTAAGAGCTGAAATAACAGATTTTCAACAGAGCTGTTCATGATACATCATGGAAGGACCAAATAATTGTCTTTGTGGTCCATCTGGTATACTTTGATTTAGGTACTGAATGAGTGTAAATTCTGATACAGTGCAGCTCATCAAAGCTGTAGATGTTGCTTACTCTTCTGCGCCTGTCTGCATTAATAATTAATGCAGCTGAACCGGACTGACATTTCTAACAGCTGCCATCAGATTACATACAGGTTGTTCCTTCTAAGGAGAGGCGCTCTGCCTTCATGAGAGTTACGAGCCAACATTAACCCATAATAGCAAAAAATTATCGCTATTAAAATTTAAGGGAATTATTATGAAAACTTTTATGCTGCTTTTTAATGGAAGTTGAAATGAACTCCTCAGTGACTAAGATTCCTAAGACCTATTCATAGAATCATAGAATTGCTCAGGTTGGAAAAGACATTCAAGATCATCAAGTCCAACCACAATCTAACCATACTACCCTAACTAACAACCCACCACTAAATCATGGCCCTGAGCACCACATCCAAATGGTTTTTAAACACATCCAGGGATGGTGACTCAACCACCTCCCTGGGGAGCCTATTCCAGTGCTTAACAACCCTTTCTGTAAAGAAGTGTTTCCTGATATCCAACTGAAACTTACCCTGGTGTAACTTGAGGCCATTTCCCCTCGTCCTGTCACCTGTCACCAGTGAGAAGAGACCAACCCCGCTTTCATTGTAAGCACCTTTCAGATATTGGAATAGAGCAATAAGGTCTCCCCTCAGCCTCTTCCCTGTACTAAACAGCCCTATTCTAAGTCTACCATCTTTTACACCATCTTGTTGATATATATTACTGCAGTTTAATTTTGCTCTTTACCTTTTCAGTGGGGTTTTAAAAATAGATGATGCACACATAGCTTTTCACATATGTATTTTAAAATGCAACAGGAAAATTCTTACCCTTGTTGCTCAGGTGGGAAATCTTTGTCATGGAAAAGTGGTGAAAGATGCAAAACCCGATATAGCGATTTAGGTCTCTATGGAGACTTTTATAAAAATAGAACTTTTTACATAAAGAATAATTTGAGATATGACTAAAATATCTTTGTTCTTAAAGTTGCCAATGAAGTCTTTTTACAGTGAAAAACAGATAACTATAATGAACATCGTCAATGACTGGTTCAAGTAAGATATAAGCATCTCAGCATGATTATAATTTTTGTTCAACGATATATCATTTATTTAATTCATATACAGCACATTTCAAATTTGTTTGATTCTTTTGGCAGGAAATATCAAAATATCTTCAAATGAGAAATCTAACTTTATTTAGCCATCTTAGTGAGATGTATTTTTTATTTTTTTCAGGGTTTAAAAGAAATTCAAATTTTTCTACAAGAATATTTCGATTACCTTCTTTTTCATGAAAGTTTTCCAAATCCCAAGTAGGCTTTTAAAATATCTGTTCTATAACAGGTTTCTTAACTTGAATTTTGACTTTAAAAGAATAGTTGTGTTTCATGTGCATCAGTCCCTAGCAACAGGCTAGAGACCTGCTGGAAGGGGTCTCTGCAAAGAAGGACCTGGGTGTTCTGGTGGACAACAGGTTGGCCATGAGCAAGAGTGTACCCCTGTGGCCAAGAAGGCTGTTAGTATGCTGAGCTGCATGAAAAAGAGCATAGCCAGCAGAGTGAGAGATGTGATCCTTCCCCTCTGCTATGGTGAGACCACATCTGGAGCTGTGTGCAGTTCTGTGTTCCTCTAGAAGACAGGAAACGTCTAGAGAGAATCCAGTGGAGTACCACAAAGATGATTGAGGCCTGGAGCATCTCCCTTATGAGGAAAGGCTGAGATACCTGGGGTTGTTCAGCCTGGAAAAGATGGAGGAAATCTTATCAGTGCTTATCAGTGTCTGATGGATAGAAGTCGAGTGGATGAGGCCGACTCTTTTAAGTGGTGTGCAGCAAAAGGATAAGGGGTAACCAACACAAGCTGGAACATAGGAAGTTCTGTATAAACATGAGGAAAAAATATTTACTTTGAGGGTTACAGAGCACTGGAACAGGTAGCTCAGAGAGGCTGTGGAGTCTCCTTTTCTGGTGATATTCAGAACCAGCCTGTGTGACCTCCTATAGGAAACTTGCTTTGTCAGAGGAGTTGGACTGGATGATATCCAGCCAGTCCAGATAAGTTCAGCCCCTACAGTTCTGTGACTCTGTGATCTCATCTTTACAGCTTTAGGAGAACTGGCTGTTAATTTCTTCTGCATTGATCAATATTATAGTGTAAGCATTCCACATAATTAATTCTCAACTTCATATTAAATGACTTTTTATTGTAAAAACATTTGTATTATCCTGTAATGCTTCTGCATTACACAGCAATGTAAGTATGAATGTCATACTTACACATTTATTCACATACTTACACAGTTATTCAGTGATGCTTCATATTAAAATATGTGTCAAATTAAGTTACATGTTTCAAATCTGAAAAATCTGAAATATTAATTGCATTGAAAGATGGTGTAGAAATACCCAATGCTTTCCATAGAACATTGTCTAACTGTCTTTAAATTAGATAGCCTTACTATACTTACAGAAGAAAAAAATTTAGCATCTTGAGTACATAGAATCATTTTATTGCAAAACTACCTGTGATACAATTCATGCTTCTTTTAACATATTCCTCTGCTCTGCCTAATCAGAGAATCTTGATCTACTTATAAAGTGAAGACACTTTAGAGTTTATAAATAGGTTAGATTTTCCTTAAAAATGTCATGTCTGTGCCAAAATACAGAAGTGGTCCTGTAGTTGAGGAAGATGCTGTGGTTTCATGCTGAGGTCTGGTTATAAGCTAGAGAAATTTTGTGGTGTGTCAATCACCCCCTTGTAGTGTATGTACAAATTTCAGCTGAAGACATCGTACAAAGAAGTAACTGAGGAACAAGATAAAAATCAGAAAAATTTGTTTGGAATTTATACAACTATGTTTGGTTATTCTTGATCTGTGCTGATCTGTGACACATTTATTTACCCCTGGGTGATGGAAACAGGCATCTTCAAGTTAGTTAAAGACCAGTAATAAACTTCAAACCATAACAGTATGTTATTAGAAATATAAGCATCATGAATGTTAAAATTGCTGTAAGAAAGACGAAGGGCAGTTGCTAATGATTTAACATTGTAAGAGTAAATTATAATAATTTTAATGACTTTTGTTTATTCTAACATCAGACTATTCAGATTTCTCTTTCTGAAGCTGTTCCATATTGGATGAATATTAGTACATATTCATTACATCAAGGCGTAGTATTATAGATTGCCCCAATTTCATTTGAGTAACATCACATGGGAAAGAAATCAACTTCTTTTCTTAATTCCAATAAAAAAATCTTTTCTGAAACTGTTCAGAATTCCTTTCCAGCCATACTCGCCCATTTTCTGTACCTTCCATAAGAACATCAGTGACTGGTTCAAAGGGTAAGATTCAGCATGTGTATTTATGTCATCATTCTTCAACCTTTCACAGAGTTCAATCTTTAAAATGCATTACAAACTCTACTGATGTTTGCTGTAGCAGTAATTCACCATCATAATATCTAAGAGCTTTAATAACTCTTCAGGAGATCATTTGGTATTGCCTTCTTGGAAAAAGTTAAATAACAGGTCAGAATAACTCTCACTTAAATTACTTTTCTGTCAGATTAGCTTATCTACAAGTTATCCTCTTCATAAAGTGAACTGAAAGCCTCCTTCTAGAACATTTTAGACAGTACAACAAAATATTCATGCTTTTGCAGATGTAACAGGAATAGCTGTTGTACCAGAGCAGAAGCCTACCATCACAACGTGGAGTATTTCTTTAGGCAAAGGCTACTCAGAGTCGTAGTAAAAGCCAAAGTAAAGTTAATGAAGAGCATATGAGGGGAAACAGATGAGTTGATTTAACAGGAGAGTTAGGAAATAGAGTATATTAACAGCATGTTTCCAGAGGATAACAAAATTAGATTGGCTACATTCATTGTTGAGTAGCCTTTTGAATCCTTCTGATTTAAACTCTCAAATTTTGCTTTACAGGAAATATTAGCAAAAATTGTACCAGTAATGGATGGTCAGATATTTTTCCTGACATCTTAAGTACTTGTGGATATAATGACTATGAAGATGATTATAAGGTAGGAAGAACATTTTTTCAACTCATTTAAATGCTGATGTTCAAAATAGCTATGAGACATAATGTGCTTCCAAATAATCCTATTTTATTCAATCAGAATTAGTTACAAACTGTAGACATTTTTGGTAGCATTGCTTGCCATGTGCTTAGATTGCAAATGTCATATAAGACATAAACAGAAATGTAGAATTTTGTAATTGTTTCAAACATAAGGCTATGATCAGTTCTTAAGTGCAGTAATGCATCCACATTTCTAAAACTGAGCTTGTGCAATTGTTTTGCACGGTGTTATTTCCAAATGTTTCTATTATAACAAATCCTAATAATGTAATAAATCTGGTAATAATATATGCACCATTTGATTGCTGATATGTGTCTAAGTTATCACGAGTAAAATTGGATTAACACAGGTCATTGGAATTATTGCAGATTTATATTAGACTTAAAATTGGATTAGCCATTAGAAATGATTCAAAAAGCTATCAAGACATCATAAACATAGCACAAATGGAAAAATGAATTTGTTCAGTTTGTAGAAACTATTTCTTATTCTTTGTTATTTAGAGAAATACTCTTTCCATGATGTTTTGCCTATTTTCTACCAGCTTCTCTGCTCACTCTAGCAGTGCAAGATTTTGTTTACAAAAAATGGTTTGGAGATCACAGTGTCAGTAGTTTTGTTATTGTGAGCACATGAAGTAATCTTGAGGATAAACATTGTTAACTGTTTGGGTTTTCCTGAATTGTATTATATATGTGGAACAGCTCTAGCAGACCTATTCCAGCCTATTGCAGAGATGTGCTAGCTTTCTTGCTAAGACATGTGGTTCTTGCCATTTCTTTCTGTATTCTAAAGCCCTGCCAGTAGTTAAACATGAGCAATAAAGAATTTTTAGAATATATTACCTTCCTATCCTTTCTGCAGACACATTTCAAAACACTGGTACAATCTGACTGCTTGGGAACGATCCCATGTTACTGCTAAACCAGCCCTTTAAAACATAAAAATTACATGTGACAGTATATTTTTCAGGTAATGTATGAGGTTACTCTCAGAGTTAGAGTAAATACAGAAATAATATTTTAGAAGAAGTCACAAAATACTTTTCCTATGGTAAGTCTTAAATATTTTTCCATATTCTTTCCCTGAAGAAAATGTTTGCAGAGGAGGTAGAAACTGTCTTTGTTACAGCTTGATGCCTGTATCTTCCCTCCTGAATTATATTCCATTGTAGACCTGCTTATAGAGTCTATAATGGGTCTGCACTTATAGGTAACCACCTTGAAGAGTACGAATCTGAACAAACAATTATGTTTTCATCACATCACATCAAATTGTGTATTTAAACCTTTATTAAACACTTCCAATCCCTTTCCTATAAGAAAATTGGTTGCTGCTGACCTTCAAGGGCAACTTTTAGATTCATCTTGTTCATTCAAATAAGTATCTTCTTTTTTCTTGTATATTTCCGTTGAGCTTGTGGCATCACAGTGGCAAAGTGGGTGACTTGATTTGACCGTACAGGAAAAACATGTCAAGGTCTGTTAACCCAACACAAACTTCACTGCAACCTTTTCTTTCATGTCAACAATTCTGACCTTTTAGTTGGACGCACGAGTCCAGGATGTCCTCAGAGGGTATCACGCTCTTTATCAGCATTGCTAACACAAGTCAAGCTGCCTCATGAATGTAAAGGACTGAAATGTGGCCACTTTATTTAAAAAAAAAAAAAAGAGAGAGTGACAACTACAAGTCAGCTAATACAGTTTTATCTAATCTTCTAACCTTAGCTTGAATTGACCTGACATTTATTGTATCACAAGCTATATGATTCAAACACTTGAGTAATACAAAGACAGATTCATGGAGAGGAAAATTCTCAGTGCTATTACACATGATGAAACTATTGCAACACGTGCCTAGATGGAACATCATCAGGGAAAGAATTATCTCTGGTTTAGCAACTTTCCTGAAGAATCCATTCTTAGGCTTCTGCCATAAATAACACCCTGAGTGTGCTACCCTGGCTACACTTCCCAAAACAGTTGGAAGTAAGGCAGCAAAGTCAGGACTGACTCAGACAATCACTGTCCTGAATATCTATAGTTGCCTTTAGAAAATAGGTGCATTACTACTATCTGTGAAGTGGACCATTGCCTTGGACTAATGGATCGTTTGTTCTGAGTCTAAATTGAATGTGTCCCTTTCAAGAAAATGTAATGCATAGTTGCTGTCTGCCAGTGCTTTTCTGTGTGCCCATGAGTCATGCTATTTTTGTTTACATTACATTCTGCATTTTTCATTAGTTTTTCACAATATGTGATTAGAGACCAATATTTCTGAAAGTGAATACAAAATTCTTCTTCTGTCATGCTCAAGTGAGAAGGATGGGGCATGAGTATAAGCTAATGTACTCTCCTTAGGGAGCACAGTGGGAATTTCTTTTATTTCATGTAGATTGTCCACAAATTAAAGTGAACTGAAACCCTATTGGAAAAGGGTTTACATTAATCTGTTATTTATAGATTATTAAATACCAAGGAATATATGTTTTATGAGATGTATATTTTTGTAAATTCAGTTGTGCGCTGTGCCATCCAAAAATATGAAGAAATGCCTCTTAAGAAATAAGTGCATTGTGTGCATTGTCCACATCAAATAATCAATCTCTTTATGCCAGTTCGTATTTAAGTTTTTACAAGACTTTAGAAACAGCTGCCACTTTGTTGAAGTTAATGCTGTAAAAGGAAGGAACTAGGGTTTGTAGTATATTTCCACCTACATTTGCTGGTTTCAGTATTTCTAACGCTCTCAACCAAGTTGCTAGGCCCAAACAACTTTATATTCATTGTGCAGTTTAAAGTTTTCTGATATGTTCTTTCATATCAGTATTTAGATATTATGGAATGTATTCTGAACCATGCGTTCTAAAAATTTAAGAGCTTATATTTTAATATAATTGTAAATAATTGCATCTGTGAATATGAAATCTACATATAGCATTCCAGAAATACACTAGGCCCTAGAATAAACAGAGTAGTCCGTCGTGATGATAATGATCATATTTTAGAAGTAATCAGTTATATCTTTTGGTTAAATAAATAAAGAGGTGTTTATTTTTCTTTTACATGGAGGATAATATCTTGTCAGTAGTGGTACTCTTTTGAACAAAGAATCAATTCAGTTTTGTTCTTGAGCACAGAATCACCCTCCTACCCCTTCCAAACCAAGGCTGAGGTTGAAAGATCCCCTGAATAACTGTCACCTTTCCTAGGGAGCTTCTGTGGCGTTTCTGCTCTGTAAACAAACAAAAGACTTCAGTCTCCTAAACTTAGTAAAAGAAGCATGAAACTATCTGTAGAGAAAATGTTAGCAGTAAAAGGTGTCTGTTCTAAGAAAACAAAACTGTAAGTCTCCTGAGCATAACACTAATTACACAAACTTGGGGTAATCAGATTTCTTTTTCATATGTGTAGTGTTTTCATATCCATTTCATAACCCATTGGAATTAGCTAGCCATAAAAAGCATTAGGTCTTTATAGTCTACAAAGAAGTGTGCAAGTCATAACCTACTGATTTTTGTAGTACCCAACCACCAGTGGACTTGGTTATTGGTTGCAATTTGAATACTGGCCTTAAAACATTAAAAATGAATTGTTGAATTTCACTTTTGAAGTCTGAGAAGTATTTCTCAGACAACCACATGAGTATTTTGCAAGGCCACATATTTTTACTCCTGTGGCAAAAATACTAGTTTTGTTTTGCAGAAATTTTCATGTCATTTCAGTTTCCAAATATCATTTTAACTTCACATGCATAGCTTGAATCAACTTATACTTTGAAAACAGTTACAAAATCTGAAGGGGGTTTGATGTTTTCCCTTTATGAAAATCTTTCAAAAATCTGAGTGCGGTTTAGTTTTAAATTCTGTTTTGGAGTTTCCATACCTTGTTTACACTTTTGTTGGTCTTATTCTTCCTAATTTAATCTGGAGGTAAAAGCTAAATTAGTTAATTAAGACCTGACTGATGATAGTTCACACAGAATAGTAAGGAATAGAATGTGCTCAAATTATGTGAAAGAGGTTGGTTTTCACGTGCTGTTGATTTTTGGATTATTTTGCTGTTAGTTTTGCAGCAGTACCAATATGAAGACTCTTAAGTGGTGCTGTGTAATATATAGTAACTATATCTAGGTCAATGATAATCTGATTTCTTTTTCTGGATTTTGACTGCCACAACACAATGCAGAATTTTGTCCATTGTCTGTCTGCTTTTTTTTGTGTAGTTATTAAATACATGATTTCAAAACTTCATTTGCCAGTTTTTTTGGCTGAATCATTAGGAGTGTCATAGTTTTAATAATCTAAATATTTTACTTAGTTTTGCAAATCATAACACACACATTCAAACAATCGTAATTTTTGATGCTATGGATTCAAAATCTAATAGTGTTTATTTAGCCTTGCAGTAATTTGAGGAACAGGTTTATTTGATGGTGTAGCCAGCTGAAAGTAGACCTGAAAGGAAAAATCTATCCTCTTAACCAGAGTTTATGAATCAGATACCAAATTTTGAGGAAATTACGGAGGCAGTATTGTGGACAGCTCAGTCCAGAACTCCATGTAGAGTATTTTATTGGTTTAAAAAAAAAAAAAAATACAGAATTTTATTATTAAGGGAAGGAATAAAAGTAAAATATAACTGTACACCAAATAAAAAATACCTTTCTATGATACTGTTCTCTCACTATCTACTCATTTAAATTTTACACTCACGTCTTGGAAAGTAGAGGGCACAAGTCTGAACGTCAAAGTAGACTGAGGTTCTAAGAGGCAATGTAGCTGTAAAACATTGGTTATAAGAAGTTATAGAATTGATTATAAGTTGTTACAGAACGGCTTTTAACTCTTAAAGTTTTTTTTATCAAAGCTTTTCCTTGAATACATGCAACGTGCTATTAAGAAAAAAAAACAACAACTGGAACTATGTATCTCGGTC